GGAGATTATTGCCAATGACCAGGGAAACCGAATTACCCCCTCCTACGTGGCCTTCACCGGTCACCAGTGAAGGTGATCGGTGATGCTGCCAAGAATCAGCTGACCTCTAACCCTGAGAACACCATCTTTGATGCCAAGAGGCTCATTGGTCGCACATGGGGTGACTCATCTGTGCAGCAGGACATCAAGTACTTCCCCTTCAAGGTGAGCTTGTAAACTGAAAGTAAAACTTGTAGTTGCTTGTGCTTTGGGTCATGTTTTAGTGAAATTGTTGTTAAATTAATATTGATGTGTTTTCCTCTGAAGATTACTGAGAAGAAGAGCAAGCCCCACATCCAGGTTGACATTGGTGGTGGCCAGATGAAGACCTTTGCTCCTGAAGAGGTCTCTGCTATGGTGCTGACTAAGATGAAGGAGACTGCTGAGGCTTACCTGGGCAAGAAGGTACAAAAAGTCAGAGATTGTAAATCAGTGAAAATGCTAATTTTAATTAAATGGTGTATCATCAAATCTAACTTTATCCTTTTTCCTCAGGTCACACATGCTGTGGTCACTGTCCCCGCCTACTTCAACGATGCCCAGCACCAGGCCACTAAGGATGCTGGTACCATTGCTGGTCTGAATGTTATGCGAATCATCAATGAGCCGTAAGCATCCAGTCAAAATGAATTTGCAATTTGAAACTCCAAAGAATATCTCTGCACTCCCTTCTAATAAACTCTCATTGTATTCTTTAGAACTGCTGCTGCTATTGCTTATGGCCTGGACAAGAGGGACGGAGAGAAGAACATTCTTGTGTTCGATCTGGGCGGAGGCACCTTTGATGTCTCTCTTCTGACCATTGACAACGGTGTGTTTGAAGTGGTGGCCACCAACGGTGACACTCATCTGGGAGGAGAGGACTTTGACCAGCGTGTCATGGAGCACTTCATCAAGCTGTACAAGAAGAAGACTGGCAAAGATGTGCGCAAAGACAACCGTGCTGTGCAGAAGCTGCATCGCGAGGTCGAGAAGGCCAAGAGGGCGCTGTCTGCCCAGCACCAAGCCCGCATTGAGATCGAGTCTTTCTTTGAGGGAGAGGACTTCTCTGAGACCCTGACTCGTGCCAAGTTTGAGGAGCTGAACATGGTAAGATATTAATTTGGTTCTCTATAATATTGCGTGTCAATCCCTGTTGGAGAAACTTTTGAC